TATTATATATAATATCTATATATATATACTTTTTTAAAAGTGCTCTTATTATACTAACTTGAATCTGTTCTGCACTTTGTTGGAGATTATGAATTTTGTAGTAGCAGCACAGAGTCACTCATAAGTTTCATTACTCACTTTTTAAATGAAGATTAAGAAACACTTGTTTTAATGCGTAAAAGGATGATTTAAAATCTCGAGTTGCAAAAATCGAAATTACTGTTGACGAAAATTTTGTTGTTGTTCATGCGGCATTAGTATTTATTTTTTTATTTCAGTTAAACTTTTAGTTATGGCAGATAGAGAACCGTTTGTGGTACCACAGAAAGAGATTAAATCGATGTTTGATATCAAGAAGTGGTACTTTTCTAAGGTTTATTAATTATTTTATCTAACCAGTAGCGTAAAACTAATTTTTTTATGATGACTTAAGAGCAGCCGTGGTTGTTTTCACATGCAGTTTGAATCCTGTCATAAAATGTATCATATTTATTAAATTAATGTTATGGAGGTAACATATTTGACAGTGATTTTTACCGTTTTTGCTTCAAATAGGGGTATGCCGATTACATGTCAATGATCCATGAGCTGAACGATTCAGTTAGAGGCGTGGTAACTACAGATGATATTCCAATAAATCCGAACGTTAGCAGTGCTATTGATATGCTTGATGATTTTCAGGTTGTTCTACTAAAATTTCAAACAACTGCTGAGTAAACTAGCACCTGAGCAGTAATTTCAGCTCCATTTAGACTTTTTATTGTCTCAGTACTTTGATGCTTAGCTTTTTCATAAATCAAAGCTCATGCTCGATTTAGTGATCGGAAGGCACCTTTCAAAAAACTAAAAAAATTTTCTGCAAGGCGTAGAAAATAATTTATGGGTTGCGGCGCTATTCCCAAAATATTCCGGTTGTTGGTTAGGTAATATTTGTTTATAAAAGACTGTTTGAGGAAGCAGTATTGTTGTAATTGATTACTGCTTCATATTTTAGCGTTGGACACTAGAGTATCCTCCTGAAGACATGGGTCAGCAACGTTATGGCAATAAGGCCTTCCGGAAGTGGTATCAAAGGCTTACTGAAGTAAAATATCCTGATTTCTTTGTTGTTTATTAATTAGTAACTGTAACTTTTACTCGAGCAACAAGTCTTATTATCATTATTTTTTGTTTTCCTGGTTTTTAAGGAGGTGAATGATGCTGTTTATGCACTACTTCCTGCTGATAAGAAGGGAGCATACATTGAGATTGCACCATATCTGCTTGATTCGTTTGGCAATTCGACGCGTATAGATTACGGATCAGGTATGGAGAAAGGCTAGTTTTATTTATTCGTTTTACGTCTTCATTCGTCACACTCGGTTTTTTTTTAGGACATGAAGCAGCATTTCTGATGTTCATGTTGTGTCTGCGGAAGCTTGGTGTCTTTACTGAGGAAGATAACAGAGCACTTGTTTTGCGCTTGTTTTTGAAGTTAGTACTATTGTCTTTTGTTCTGATGGTAATTAATAAGAAATTTGTCTAATTCAGTTTTGCACCAAATGTTATATAAAAATTTTTGGCGAGATTTCACATTTAAAGGCTATCCGGTCCATCGAAAAATGTTCGACCAAATCCAATTAAGGGTGGGCTTTAATCAGAAAAGTCCTGAAAAAGTTGACATTTTTTGCATTTTTATTCCAGTAAACTTTGTACTCTGATTCTTGCAGAGGTTTATAGGGAGTAAATTATAGCAGTAATTGTGCAAGGTACGACTATTTACTATGGTTTCCTCTTTTCACAGATATTGGCGCATTGTTCGTTGCCTACAAGTGACATATAGAATGGAACCCGCTGGGAGTCGTGGTGTACATGCTTTAGACGACTTTCATTTTGTACCTTTTATTTGGGGTAGTTCTCAGCTGATTGGTAAGTAGCAAAAAGTTATCTTTTTTAAGCATTATTTTATCGACGTCACCGCCACAGCACGGTGCTTTTTTATTAATTGTTGCTTTTCCATCTTAAGGTCAAAAGCGTTTGGTCCCAGAATCCTACTTGAACCCTGACTTGGTCGAACAGAACGCGCCTAAAAACCTTTTTTTCGATGCCATTCAGTATATTAATGAGGTAGCGTTTGCTTACAGTGCTATGTTTGCATTACTTGTGTTTCTGTAAAATCATTTTTTGTTACTTTTAAGACTAAGCATGGACCGTTCCACGAGCACTCTAATCAGTTGTGGAATATCAGTGCTGTTCAAACTTGGGAGAAGGTGAACTCTGGAATGTTTAAGATGTATGAAGCCGAGGTGCAGTTTTTTATTAAGTTTATCTGTCAGCCTCATTGTTTCTCAGCAGGAATTTGAAAAAGTTTGGGAAGGGATGTTGGATGATGGGGGCTTTAGATGGTCCTTGTAGAGGTGATGTGATGGGTTTCAGAATTTGATAATTGAGAAGTGAAATGGTTTTAAGTTGGAGGAAGGGTTCAGATGATCCGGTAAAGAATGCGGAGACACAATTCTTGGTTAAAAAAGAAGGGACAGATTAGAGGTTGTTGGGAGACAATGGCTTAGTTTACCTTCCCTCTTGTCTAACACCTGTTTATTGAGGTTTTTTTCAGGTATTAAAAAAGTTTCCTGTGGTTCAGCATTTCTTGTTTGGTTCACTTATTTCTATAGATAGAAGCGGTGAAGTCACTGACCCGAATTTGTTGGAGGCAGACGAAGCATCTCGGCATGCTGATGGCAAGTCAACAAAAATGGAACAGAGTAAAACAGCGCAACAGCCAAGTGTAGCAACGGTCTCTCCATAAAATTGATTCTTATTTGGATTGTTAAGAAGTTT